ATTAGCTGAGCTTTCGATTTCTAAGTATTTATTGTGAATACTTCGAACATTCGCATGAAGAATTACCGTTCTTGAATCGGCTCTTGCGCTGTTAAAAAATTTGTGCCTTTATCACTTGAGGAAGGGTATTCGTCTTGGCATTTGATGAAACGCAGTGAGGATGATCCTTGCAACTTGCGGTCTATACTTGTTATTACATTTTCTATAACAAAGTTTTTCAACGATTTATAGTTCCTTGTATTTTCATATATCATATTCGGGTCCAGAAATTTAATATTTTCACTGACTTTAGCTATTTTAACTATTTGATCATTGATATGGTAAATCTCATTGTCATTCTTACAATTATAACGCAAACCAGTGATTATCATGTTAAATTTCCTATCCGGCTGGCTTACAATATTGTTTAATAGTTTTATGTACTTTTTTTGATTATGATAAAGAGAATTTTCATATTTAGTAATATGTACTGCTACTGTATCTTAAATACTCGTATAATAGATAAAAGCTGTGAAGGCGCGAATTCAAAGAAATCCCAAACGTAAGCAGAAACTGTTGGCCCTTCAGATGGGGTTAAGCAGAACCACGGTGAAAAGGGTGTTAAATGAAGACTTAGGGCTTCGGGCATATCGAAGAAAAACAGGACATCGTTTGAATGCTCGTCTAATGGACCTGTGACTAAAGAGATGCCGCGCTTTGTTGAAGCGGTACGCGGGAAAAAAATATCGGGAAATTCTTTTTTCGGATGAAAAAATTTTTACCGTAGAAGAGAGCTACAACAAACAAAATGATAAGGTGTACGCACACAGTAGTGAAGAAGCGAGCAACCGTATTCCGCGTGTCCAACGAGGTCATTTTCCATCCTAGCTCATGGTATGGTTGGGAGTTTCTTATTGAGGCTTAACAGAAGTAAATTTTTGTGAGAAAGTTGTAAAAACGAATGCAGTTGTGTATCAAAATACAGTCCTGACGAACCTTGTGGAACCTGTTTCTCATACCATGTTCAATAACAGGCACTGGGTATTCCAACAAGATTCGGCGCCAGCTCATAGAGCGAAGAGCACACAAGACTGGCTGACGGCGCGTGAAATCGACTTTATCCGGCACGAAGACTGGCCCTCCTCCAGTCCAGATTTGAATCCGTTAGATTACAAGATATGGCAACACTTGGAGGAAAAGGCGTGCTCAAAGCCTCATCCCAATTTGGAGTCACTCAAGACATCCTTGATTAAGGCAGCCGCCGATATTGACATGGACCTCGTTCGTGCTGCGATAGACGACTGGCCGCGCAGCTTGAAGGCCTGTATTCAAAATCACGGAGGTCATTTTGAATAAATTTTAGTGTCATAAGAACCTATGTTTTGTTAAGTTCATTTTGGTATATAAATGGTTACATAATGAATAAACTTGTTTCAATTATTTTATATTAAACATGTGACAGAATTTATGACCTGACTAGGTATATAAATGGATGACAAACGAGCACACAGTCAGCCTGATGGTAAGTGGTCGCTGTGACCCATACACATCTACATTTATCCTCAAAAAAGAATCAAAATGCAGATGCATCGTTACCCGTGAGGACTAAGATGGAATGCCTCTTTTCCAGTAAAAAGGGTCTCCGGTTCTCTTCACTCACCATACGAAACACAGCAGCGTTATGCTGCTATTTTACGTGGGTATTCTTTGAGAGTGTGGTCCTTCCCCGTTCGAGCCGACCCATACGTGCTACAACTATACCAGTAATATAGCTGCACATGGCTCTACCACGTAAAAAAATTGTTTTTAAAAATCTACATGCGAGTTTGTACGGAACGAGTTGGATTCGCACTTGTCCGGTTTTTTTTCCAATATTTTGTTTAGCTTAATAATCCATTGTTATCTTTAGCTGATTATTGTGATATCTTTAAGTTTAAAATTAAAGATAATTACGTGTTTGTCGTGTTTTATCATATACCTACATAACTAAACTAGATTTGTGTTTCCCGTGTTGAATAAGTTTCTGAAACAGAAGTCATAAATACGTCATTCAACAGATAAATAAATAAAATAACTTTTCGCATTAAAAGTATTGAAGCCATATCTATACATATAAATAAAATTGAAGTGTCTCTCTGTAATATAAATAACTGTTAAACTGTTTAAATTTTGCCTGTGTCTGTCTGTCCGGTCCAATCTGCTGAATAACTGAACCGGACGTAATGAAACTACACGAACAGATAGACAGTGCGGGGAGTGATCTGTTCTTTATTTTATTATTTGGTAGACGCTGCAGTTATATTACAGTTGTAGCACGAATGGGTCGGCTCGACCGGGGAAGGACCACGCTCTCACAGAATACCAGCGTGAAATAGCAGCTTAACGCTGCTGTGTTTCGTATGGTGTGTGTAGAGAACCGGAGACCCTTTTTACTGGAAACGAGACATTCCATCTTAGTCCTCACAGCTGACAACGCATAGGATAGATGTAAAATTTAATACATACATGTTTTTCAAAAAAAACATTTTTGATTTTAAGATATAAATACTCACGCCTGTCACCCAGGGGGCGGGCAGATACTACGGACTTTCATTTGACACGATCCTGGCACACCTCTCTCGCTTCCTCCACATCCATATACCTACGCATACATGCTCATCGGTTAAAGGTACTCTTGATTTGGCCCATTTTCAATATATCGCCAATTTGGTCGATAAACTTTCGCCTAGGCTAGGGCGTCCCTTCCCGACTCTGCCGTTCACTTCTGCAACATAAATTTGCTCACTTTCCTCATTCATTCTTTTTACATGACCAAACCACTGAAGCATTCCTTTCTTAATCCTGGTCACAACATCATCTTGCAGACCACACTTCTCTTATCATACAATTTCTCACTCTGTCATTCAGATTCATCCCTAACATACTCCTTAATGACCGCATTTCTACAGCATTTATTCTACTCTCGTGCTTCTTCTGCCAGACCCAAATTTCACTACCATACATTAAAGTAGGGGCTAACACAGCATTGTGAATTGCCATACGTGCCTTTTGGTCACATTATTTCTACTAGGGATTTTAAATTACCTATAAGAAATAATATATTTATTTGAAGTTATCATTTTTAAGAATTTAGGCGTAAAGTAGCCAGCCTTTCGGTTTTTTACAGGATACATTTCGGAGAGTGTGCGCAGGAATCGTGTGACTTAATTATTTTTTTTATAGGAGAGTGGACAAACGAGCAAGCGGCTCACCTGATGGTAAGTGATTACCGCCGCCCATGAACAACTGCACACCAGGGGAATTGCAGGTGCGTTGCCGGTCTTTTATAATGGAAAAATCGCTGGTTGTAATCGATTCCACAAAGAAGTTGTGCGAGGAAGAAAACATCTAAATCGCACAGTGGTGGACCGCCAATCATCCAGATGGTATGGATAGTATCGCGAGTTTTGTCACGATATGCGATGGTGAAATTGAGCGGCTGGAATTAGTCCGAACAATTCCTGAGAACACTCCCCGTGATAGACGCGATAAAATATGCAAAGAGATGCAACATCTCTACGCAGTGCCAGTGAGTCAAGCCGATCGGAAAGAACTCGGTCGTCGTTAATTCCTCCTTCTCCATTCCATCATCTGACCACCAGATACTAGGTTGGTCTCCATTCCTTCGTTGTAGACACAATACGCATTTGAACCAAACGGTTGGCTTCGTCGTTCGTATTGCGTATAGCATGTATGTGCGTATAGTTTTACAAGGCGCAGGTTCGGCCTCACATGGAATACTGTTCCCATCTTTGGGCAGGAGCTGTGCAGTGTTAGCTCCTTCCGCTTGACCGCATCCAGCGCAGAGCGTCTCGAATCGTCGACGACCGAGTCCTTTCCGATCGGCTCGATTCATTGGCTATGCGAAGAGATGTTGCATCCCTTTGCGTTTTCTTTCGCATCTACCATGGGAAGTGCTCTGAGAAATTGTTCGGATTAATCCCAGCCGCCAACTTTCACGAACGCACATCGCGGCAGAACTCCAGATACCATCCACACCATCTGGATGATTGGCGGTCCACCACCGTGCCATTTAGAAGATGTTTTCTTCCTCGCACGACTTCCTTGTGGAATCGATTACCATCAGCGATTTTTCCGGACCGATACGACATAGGGACCTTCAAGAAAAGAGCCTACTCCTTTTTAAAAGGCCGGCAACGCATCTGCAATTTCCTCCCTGGTGTTGCAGTTGTTCATGGGCGGCGGTAGTCACTTACCATCAGGTGAGCCGCATGCACGTTTGCCCCCTCTCCTATAAAAAAAGCAAAGGAGTGGAACAATTACCCAGGATCTCTTACCATTGGATGTGAATATACGTCCACATTATAATTGGAATTTTATGTTAAGAAACTCCAAGTAGCAGCCGGAAGTCCAGAAGATGGCGGTGCTGCACCCCGTGCCTCGGCAACACGTAAAGCGGGTGCTCCTGCGCCTGATCTCTACGTCCGTGTCGGTTTACCGTCCTAACTATAAGAGTGTGGGAATTCAGAGTGCACTCATGCTTGCGCATACACACGACCACTAAAGTCCTGTCCTGTGCAGATGGCTAGTCTATTTTTTTTTTATAGAATTACGGTGACAAACGAGCACACAGTCTACCTGATGGTAAGTGGTTGCCCACAGACATCTACATTTACCTTCAGTTAGGATGAGTTGATGATGAGATGGAATGCCTCATATCCAGTAAAAAGGGTCTCCGTTGAGTCTGGCCGTGATCGAAATTCAGTCTGGACGTCATTATTATTATATTGAATAGTAGACTGTTCCACATGTCTAGCTGACTTCATCGATATCCAAATTCGACAGCAGTGTTAATCTACACAACGTGTCCCTGATATCCAATCAAGGCAATTCATTAAATCATTGACATTTATCCGATATCTGCTAATTCTAATTAAAGTAAAACGCAAATTGAGATAAGACAGTTTCGATATAAATAGTTACCTTGAAAGAATCCGACATAGTCCGTTCAGCTTCCCACAATGAAACTCTTCCTGGTTGCTCTGTCCTGCTTGGTGTCGTTGGTTTTGGCGAAGGAACCGATCCTGTTGCACTACCACGAGAATGTGGGCATCTCCTTGGCCGAGCGCATCAGGCAGTCGGAGCTGGCCGCCGATTTCGACGGCTCCAGGATAGTGGGAGGCTCAGCGGCCTCTTTAGGAGCCTACCCTCATTTGGTGAGTCTATTCAATTTTGTTTATTGTGTTCCAACCAAATATTTTAGTTTTACGTAGAAAATAATACGAGGGTGGATTGAAAAGTACTCGGCCTAACACAGATCCATTCAATTCTAAAAATCAAATCTACCCACATTATTTAGTTCAGTTCAGACTAGTTCATTGTGTGAAGTTCGAAACGTGTGCGATAATTAGTTGTGATTTTATAAATTTATTAACAAAGTAATCGGACATAATTTCCGCGAATAGAGCAAATCGAGCAGCGTGCCGTCATTAAGTACCTCCATAAGAAGGGGCTATCATCAAAAGCCATCCATGATGACATGGTCAGTACATTAGGCGATTGTGCTCTGTCATATTCATCCGTTAAAAAATGAATAGCAGAATTTAAGCGTGGTAGAGAGAGTGTGAAAGATGAACCCCGCTCTGGAAGGCCTTCGACGTCAACTACTGACGAAAATATTAAAAAAGTACTTGATTTAATTATGGGAGACCGCAGATTAAAAATTAGAGAGATAGCCGAGATTATAGGCATCTCTTATGAACGAACTCAAAACATCATTGTCAACGAGTTGGGTTTCCACAATGTGTCTGCGAGGTGGGTTCCGCGACTGCTTTCAGTTGAACAAAAAAGGACGCGATTGACTATTTCACGCGACTGTTTGGAGTTATTTGAAGCCGATGCAGATGATTTTTTGAATCGTTTTGTTACTATGGACGAAACATGGGTTCATTACTGTACACCGGAAACAAAACAACAATCAAAACAGTGGAGAAGACCTGGTTCACCACCCCCTAAAAAGGCTAAGTCGATTTTGTCGGCAAATAAGGTGATGGCTTCAGTATTCTGGGACTCGAAAGGTGTGATTATGATTGATTATCTTGAAAGGGGTCAGAATATAAACTCTGATTACTACTGCACCTTACTACGTCGTTTACGAGAGGAAATAAAAGAAAAACGTCGAGGAATGCTCAGAAGAAAAGTCCTGTTTCATCAAGATAACGCCCGTGTTCACACGTCAGTACAGTCAATGGCTGAAATTCACAACTGTGGCTTTGAACTGTTACCGCATCCGCCGTATTCACCTGATCTGGCACCATCAGACTTCTTTCTGTTCCCTAACCTAAAAAAGCACTTGGGAGGTCAAAGATTTTCGACAAACGACGAGGTCAAAGCAGCTGTAGACGCATATTTTGACTCTAAGGAAGAATCATTTTTTTTCAACGGTCTAAATGCTTGGAAGGGGAGGTGGCAAAAGTGTATTGAACTTGATGGTGATTATGTAGAAAAATAAAAATATAACTGATTTAGTATTTGTTTATTTTCTTGGTTAGGCCGAGTACTTTTCAATCCACCCTCGTAGATTAGAATTAAATTGGTAAAACTACTTTTACGGATTCTATCGCATTTAATTAACTTATGTTTATTAATTCCCGACGTTTCGGGTGCTTTACAGCACCCATGGTCACGGGGGACTGAGGTGATTGACGTCCCGATATCAGAGTTAACCTAGAGTATCTTCAGCTTTTTTAATTATTAATTTTGGTCCGATCTACGCAGAATGAACTTACTGTGTCTTGAAGTCTTGCAGTGGTATGCTTGGGTTTAGTTTCAATTTTATTACTTACTGGATCCCAAGCAGGTGGTAGTACCCAGCCTCTCTCTCTATTGAAATTAGAATTTTTTTTAATTTCAATGGCCTCACCTATCATCCTTGGCAGGAATCGATGTTCTTTCGCGAGAATTTGTGGTTTATCAAATCTAATGTAATGGCGGGGGCCGTCCAAGCAGGGGGGGGGGGGGGGGGATCACCCGAAACGTCGGGAATTAATAAAAATGAGTTAATTAAACGCGATAGAATCCGTAAAAGTAGTTTTATTCAGTGTGTAGTGTTGGCGTAATTATAACAAATCATTATAAATTGGTAAAGTCAAATTGTACGTAGTTCTTAAAAGAAAACTTATTAAACTTTTTGTATGGGAGGACTAATTATATTAATGATACACATCTGCGCATAACAACAATATAGTGCACGAGTGTTTCTTGCTGGTAATTCACATGACAGAGGTTTATCCGAACCACTGGTTAGGCTTAAATGTCTTTCAATAAGTTTTCTTGTAAGCTATCTAATATATAAAAAAATATAAAAACATCCGTGAGTGTCGTGGAACACTCGGTTGGAACGAAGTTCCTTTCGTAGTGTATTATTATTGATAAACGTGTTATATTATTAATTAACAAATACATATAAATGAATTACTAGCGTCTATTAAAATGAAGCGTCATTTAAATTAATATTTCTTTCTTGGCAAGATATGAAAAAGTGCGAGGGAGATGGATATTATTTCATCTCGCTTCCTCACAGCCGCCAAGGCCGTCTACACTACGTCAGAAGAGGTCGTGATGGAAAAATCTTGTACTTTTTCTCGCCTAGCTATCTGCCTAATTCTTACCGTTCGATAAGGAAATTCCTTCCAAAAATAATTTTAGTTTGTTCGTATTTTATGCGCTGCCATATCGTTAATCAGATAGCGGTCAATTTATTGCTTGCACTTGCGCGAAGGTTATAGGCATACTACAATTAACTTACGTGGCGCGCATATTGTACCGACAAATTTATTTAAAAGTTATGGATCATTCAACTTCAATGAATGTATTATCATTCCTAATTAAACAATATAACTGTTCCAAATTTAAAACGATATTTCCATAAATATTTTTTACTGCGGCAGCGACGCGCTGGGTACCTTGATTGAACAAAAATGATTCTATTCTATTTGATTCTTTACTCCCGTAGTTCGATGAGACGCGAATCCGACACTACCGTATAGAGATTAGACGCAGTACCAGCGGCTTTAGGTGCTCTCCGAGGCACGGGGGTAAAACAGCGCCAACTTCCTGACACCGAGCCGCTACTGTGAATTTCTTGACAAAAAAACCCAATTACTGACTTAGTAGCACGACCCGGGGTTTGAAAGTGAGACCACGTGATCAACAGTAGGGCTTACAAATGTTAAAGAAGTATTTATTAACTCGCTTTCGTGTGTCTGTTCGAGTAGAATTTAGTAATTGATTTTGAATTAACTTCCTGATGACCTGGAGACTTGAAATTTTGAATATAGCCCACAATCAGATATTTTCGTCCGATATAATAATATAAAAAAGTATACACATATATGTATACAATAGACATGTGTAATTCTTTAATTTCTAGTGGCCCGATCATTCAAGTATTGATTTGTGTTACGAATTGGGTCATTCGGGTCGATCATTAAAAATGGATCATTTGGAGTTTCTGTACTCTGTGATCTGTGAGAGCCGCTCGATAATGTCGGTCGTCGGACATTGCTATACAATTTGGTCGTAGGTCCTGTCAATCGTTTAATCCGAAAAAATATAATTGCAATCATCAACACATTGATGCGCTCCGGGTCAAATGAACGAATCATTCACGATTGACACATGCTGTCTACGAAAAAAAAACGTGGAATATTAAATTTTGGCTAACTTAACGCTTGGCAGGGAGGTTGGCAACCGTAGTAACATCTATGGCAAAATCCCCCTATGAGGTAGGTGAGGCCTATGTTCAGCAGTGGACTTTTATAGGCTGTAATGGATGTATGTATAGAAGATAATCTAACAGGAGCACAGGACCCACTGAGAGGAGAAATTATTAAATCATTACAACTATGGCAAAATTCCCCCTACGAGGCATCTAAGGGCGAGGCCTATGTTCAGCAGTGGACTTGTGAAGGGCTGTAATGGATAGATGTATAGAAGACAATCTACCAGGAGCACATGATCCACTGAGAGGTGAAATTATTAAATCAACAGTAACATTACAACTATGGCAAATATCCCCCCCTATGAGGCAATCTATGGGGGAGACATATGTTCAGCAGTGGACTTTTATAGGCTGTAATGGATGTATGTATAGAAGATAATCTACCAGGAGCACATGACCCACTGAGAGGTAATCAAAATTGGTAAGGTAATCTATGGGAGAGACCTATATTGAGCAGTGGACTTTGAAAATGAATCCATGGTTGAATAAATACTTTTTTTCAGGGTGGGCTGGTGATCACCTTAACCTCCGGCCAAACATCCGTGTGCGGCTCGTCCCTCTTGAGCAACACCCGCTTGTTAACGGCAGGCCACTGCTGGTTCGACGGTCGCAACCAGGCTCGTGAGTTCACCGTCGTGCTGGGCTCCACGCGCCTCTTCTCCGGCGGCACCAGGGTCAGAACCAGCGACGTGCAGACCCACTCCAACTACAACACCAACACTCTCAACAACGACCTCGCCATCATCAAGACTCAATGGATCAACTTTAACAGTCAGTATATTTTATATATACATATACTTATAAGATTGCCGTATTGTGTCGGTGTAAGAATATCCACTAACTTATATCATCCCGTGGGTATCGAAAGAGGCGACAGAGGGAAACAAATCAGGAGATGGGCAGCCAGCGTCTTCCTAATAAAGAATAAAAAAAAACTGCGTTTGCCAACCCGCTTGCCAAGCGTGGCAACGATGGCAATGAGCATATGAGGCAATCTGTGGGGGAGGCCTTTGTTCGGCAGTGGACTTTTAATAAGCTGTAACGGTAACGGATATATATAAGAGCTTTTACGTGGTAGGCAATGCTGCAGCTATATTAGTAGTATAGTTGTAGCACGAATGGGTCGGCTCGACCGGGGAAGGACCACGCTCTCACAGAATACCAGCGTAAAATAGCGGCTTAACGCTGCTGTGTTTCGTATGGTGAGTTTAGAAAACCGGAGAACCTTTTTACTGGAAAAGAGGCATTCCATCTTAGTCCTCACGGGTGACAACGCATCTGCATTTTGATTCGCAAACGAGGATAGATGTAGATGTCTATGGGCCGCAGTGACCACTTACCATCAGGTGGACTGTGTGCTTGTTTGTCACCCTTATCCTATAAAAAAGAGAGTGGTGAAACGAGTATGCGGCTCAGCTGATGGTAAGTGACTACCGTCGGCCCATGAACAACAGCAACACCAGGACAATCGCAGTCCTTTTAAAAAGGAGCTCGTTTCTTATATAATATCTTCTCTTCTTCATAATACATTCGACATGAGATCCAAGCACACAGTAGCCCAATAGTACCGCGAACTCAATGGTGGTTCGACTAATGTCGTGAACCGCTCCTAACGCATTCGTTTTAATTTTACCAGCAGGGCTAGCATGGGTGGCAGATAATTTTATCCACGGGGATAGGAGAAAATGTTTATCCCCTCGTTTAGTTTCACCCTTCGAGTATGGGCATACCGGTGGATATAATATCCACAGTAGATAAAATGGGTGGCAGACTAAGATTTTTGTATATAATATATAAATTTAAACCCACGTCCAATGAACTAGGATAGAATTGTCCCTTTTAAATGTCATAAAAGCATAATTTTTTTATCTTTCATTTGACCACATGCTACGGACGGGGGATATATGTCTACTCGTTATGTCAAACGGGGATATACCTCTCCCCGTTGCCGTGCTTTGGCATAGGGACAAGATAATTTTATCTCTTGTCAGTGGATATAATCGGGGGATAAAATTTTTGTGCCCAGCCCATGCTAGCCGTGCAGGAGTGGTTAAAGTGTATAATATTAATGTAAAGAGTAAGTATCGCTAGTATTCAATAAATGAAGCTAAGGGCCGCAGATTCGAATCCCGTGCTGAATAGGTACTTTTATTGCCTGCAAATTATTGTTCCGTGTTTAACGTTGACGTAAACTACCTACATACAGCAGAATCCTACTGCGGTAACATTTTCCAAAAATGAATGAAATACAGGGGAATCTTAGTGTTAAAGCATTTTCTAAAAATAAATGAAATATAGGAGAATTCTAGGCCCGTATTAATAAACGTTATTCAGCTCAAGTACACGCACTTGAATACAATATTGAGGTTATGATCTTATTAATAAACATATCTCAAGATGCGGTTTAGGTTTACGATATCAGCTGAGTGCCACACTGATTAATAAACGAAACTCGACTCTCAAGTGTGTGTACTTGAGTGCAAATCACAGAACAGTATTCATAAGTACAGTGTTTTGAGATACTGTTTTTATGTGTTTATTAATTAGCAACGATCTTGAGATGCTGATATCGTAATGAGGGCGTATCAAATGATTACGCACTTGAGTTCGTCGTTGAGTAACGTTTATTAATACGGGCCATAATGAGCTATCGTTTTACAATAATTTAAAATTAAAAATTTTGTACAGCCGACTTCAATATAAGTTATTTAAGAATAACTTAAAAACTATTGGTCTGACCTTGATCAAATTCATATGGGACCACACGAGAAGTACCAGCTTTCAAATAAAAAAAGAATCATCGAAATCGGTTCACCCAGAAAAAAGTTCTGAGGTAACACACATAAAAAAAAAAAAAAAAAAAAACGAAAAAAAAAAACATACAGTCGAATTGAGTACCGGCTCCTTTTTGGAAGTCGGCAGAAAATAAATGAAATCTAGATTGAATTGTCACAGCAACCTCAATACGAGACGTTTCAATGGATTACTTTGCTCGAGTTTTACGTGTTTGAAACTATCTGGACTCTACACCAATTTATCCATCCATTACAGCCTATAAAGGTCCACTGCAGAACATAGGCCTCCCCCATAGATTACCTCAAAGCGGGATATTGTCATAGTTGTAATGCTACTGTTGATTTAATGATTTCACCTCTCACTGGGTCATGTGCTCCTGGTAGATTATCTTCTATACATGCATCCTATCAACGTCCACTGCAGAACATAGGCCTCCCCCATAGATTGCCTCAGGGGGGATATTTGTCATAGTTGTAATGTTACTGTTGATTTAATGATTTCACCTCTCAGTGGGTCATGTGCTCCTGGTAGATTATCTTCTATACATACATCCATTACATCCTAGTCCACTGTAGAACATAGGCCTCCCCCATAGATTGCCTCAGGGGGGATATTTGCCATAGTTGTAATGTTACTGTTGATTTAATAATTTCACCTCTCAGTGGGTCATGTGCTCCTGGTAGATTATCTTCTATACATACATCCATTACATCCTAGTCCACTGTAGAACATAGGCCTCCCCCATAGATTGCCTCAGGGGGGATATTTGCCATAGTTGTAATGTTACTGTTGATTTAATAATTTCACCTCTCAGTGGGTCATGTGCTCCTGGTAGATTATCTTCTATACATACATCCATTACATCCTAGTCCACTGTAGAACATAGGCCTCCCCCATAGATTGCCTCAGGGGGGATATTTGCCATAGTTGTAATGTTACTGTAGATTTAATAATTTCACCTCTCAGTGGGTCATGTGCTCCTGGTAGATTGTCTTTTATACATCCATCCATTACAGCCTATAAAAGTCCACTTGCAGAACATAGGCCTCCCCCATAGATTGCCTGATAGGTTGGATTGAAATGCCAAATATGAAACGTTTGGCAGGCGGGTTGGCAACCGCGGTTTTTTATTATTTGAGTTGTTACCAGGAAGACGCTGCTGCCCATTACCAACGTGACAATATGGGGTAGTAGATATTCTTACATCGCCAGTACACGGTAATACCTATCTATATATATACAGTAGTAAAAGATCTTGACTAATCAGATCGTTTCTTTCCGCAGACAACATCCGCCCCATCAACCTGCCCTCCGGCTCCTTGTTGAACAACAACTTCGTGGGCGCCTGGGCACAGGCCGCCGGCTTCGGAAGAACCAGCGACTGTAAGTATTACCTCCAGATGTTACATAGAACTACAAGCGATCCGTTCCGGCTTCGCACGGGATATTTCTGGAACTCGGCAACAGCGCCACCTACCGGGTCCAATTGTGAATCTAAACCATTCTCGAATCAACTTGATCACACACACACACAAAGTTTCACCAAAATCGGTCCAGCCGTTTAGGAGAAGTTTAGTCACATATACACTGACATAAGTATACATATATGTATTATGGCGATTGATATTTACGAGCTGACAAAGGAGAAGAAGTTGTTTCCTAGCTTCTGCCGCTACTTATTAAGAAAGAATAATTTAAATTACAATGTCCATACTCTAATTTTTTTTATAGAATATGGGTGACTAATGAATCCACAGCCCACCTGACAGTAAGTGCACGCTTCAGTCCATCGACATCTAAGTACATCTTTCCTCGATTAAGAATGAAAATGCAGATAGATGCATGTCATTGTATGTCAGTAAAATGGATCTCACCATAAGAAACACTGTATTATTGTGAAAAATACGTATTTACCCTGAATGCGGAGTATTTTTTTTTAATACCGAAACTTTTTCTGAGTTAAGTCAGATGGATATAAAATGTTTATTTACTCCGAATTCAAAACGGACTTTACTGTGTAAATATATAAAATAACATACATATGGATCGGTCCGACCGGGAAAGGATGTCGCTCTGTGGGGTGTGTTTTGTATGGTGTAAAGATCCAGAAACTCTTTTCACTGGAAACGAAGCATTCCGTCTTAGTCCTCAGGGGTGACAACGCATCTGCAGTTTTATTTTTAACCGAGGATAGATGTACATGTCTATGGGCAACAGTATTCACTTAGATACCATCAGCACTGTATGTTCGTTTGTCACCCTTATCCTTAAAAAACATGTGTGCAGTTTACACGTGGTACAAGTCAAACTTACAGAAAACGAAACTTCGAGAGTGAGACGAATGCAGAGTGTCAAGAGTAGGATAGTTGTAGAGTTTATGTATGTAATTTTTTTAAATGTGTAATTTAATATATTATTATGTACAATATTAAAAACTATAATAAAAAACATTAAAACTAGTAACTTAATTATCATATAGATTATTAAGTTATTAGTTTTAATTAAAATATAAATAAATTTATAATGAACACTGCATACTGTGTTCTATCTCATTCTCTTGCTAGCTAAAACCAATGTATACAAGTTTATTTTGCAATAACCGGCCAAATTTGCAGAGAAGGTTCAAAATAAGTAATATAGGCAAATGGTGAAGAAAAATTAATTAAAAAAATCTCAAATATTGTCCTTTTTATTCTTTAAATTAAAAATGTGTGGTAATGCATTATTTTAACTGATTTTCCTGCGCACGTACACATTCGTAAGGGTCGATCGGTAGACAAAATGTTGTTGGCCATAAATCACTTTCAATTTGAGATAATTTCAAATAAAAGTAGAAGCCTTATTTACTCGTATTTTCAAAAACTACAATAACGGTATATCATTATTTATATATTTAAAATTAAGTTTAAAATTTGGTTACTCCTTGAAAAATAACCTTGTATATATGTCTGTCTCTTTTTGTTTCATCGAGTTTCAAATCGCAACGATTCTAAATAAGTGTTCACTTACAAAATGATTGGTCGCACAATTGATTGTGTTACTGTGCTCGCAGCCACCGGCATCTCCAACAACCAGTTCCAGAGCCACGTGAACCTGCAGGTGATCACCAACTCGGAGTGCCGGCGGTCGTTCGGGCCCACCATCGTGTCCTCCACCCTCTGCACGAGCGGCGCCGGGGGCCAGAGCACGTGCGGCGGGGACTCCGGCGGCCCGCTCTCCATCAACAACGGTGGCAACACTGTTCTCGTGAGTACAAACATTTGCCTTTTCTACAGACTTCAAAAAGGAAGTACTCAATTCGACTGTATGTTTTTTTCTATGTGTGGTAATTCATAACTTTTTACTGGGTGAACCGATTTCGATGATTCTTTTTTTATTTGAAAAAAATTTTTCCATATAAATTTGATCAAGGACTGACCAGTAGTTTTTGAGTTATCTTTTATAATGTATATTGAAGTCGGTTGTACAAAATTTTAAATTTTATATTATTATCTTGCTTGTTTGATGAGAAAAACGTATTTTAATCTCAAATTTTGGATCATTGCATTGTCTAAACAGCTTCAATTATCATTAAGGGATCTTTCGAAATTCATATGGGGCTATCGTGAAAGTATAATGATAATAATGTCCTCTAGTCCTAATTTCAGTCACGGCGACCATCCTCAACGGAGACAAGCCATCGACGCAGGACAGGATTACAGTGCCCAAGTCTAAATGGAAGCACCGGTGCACTCTCTGTTCCCTCGTTCTCCTAATCCGATGGGATAGTCAACCGGAGAGTGGTTGTGAACGCAACTGACGACCTTGAAGTCCCGGGTTCAAATCCCGGATCGGGTCAGAATTAGTTATTGGATTTTAAAAGCTTTTAGAAAAATTTACTTTGCAAATATCCGCGTTATAAAATAAAATGATGTGTCTTACCTAGTATGAAGAGCACCTCCCGCCCTCCCTCAATTGCGTGCACTATCCCCGTCACCACTAATCCCAACAGCTTTTATATAATGGATTTCCGCAAAGTAACGCCTGATTCTATTAATTATTGGATTTTTCTGACTAGAAATTCTCAGTGACAGTCCGGAGTCAGGAAGTTGACGGTGTTGCACCGTGATCCTGCGCCTAATCTCTCCCTCCGTCCCATCGGAATGTGAGAATGAGGGAATAGAGAGTCCACCTGTACTTGCGCAAACACTCTGCCACTATAATCCCGTCCTGCGCCGATGGCTAGTCTTCGTCGAGACTGATCGCTGTCACCGAAATACAGTCTGCAGGACCGTAATGTAGCGTATAATAATATGGCGGACTAAATGTCAAAGCGTTCTCTTTCAACCAACTATTAGGTTAAGCAGAGATAGACATAATATAAGAAGGCGAGCAATAAAAATCTAAAAAGAAAAGCATGTTAAACGTTGAAATGATATACAGGGTTATTTTTCAAAGAGTAGCCAAATTTTAAACTTAAGCTCAAATAAATAAATAATTATGTACCGTTATTGCAGTTTTTGCAAAAATACGAGTAAATATAGCTTCTACTTTTATTTGAAATAATCCCAAACTGTATGTGATTTTTGGGCAACAACGTTTTTGCCTACCGATCGACCATTACGAAAGTCGTACGCAGTAACATCAGTTAAAATAATGCATTACCACGCATTTTGAATTTAAAAGATAAAACGACAAAATGTTTGAGATTTTTTTAATTAATTTTTCTTCACCATTTGCCTATATTACTTATTCTGAACCTTCTTTGCAAATTTGGCCGATTTTTGCAAAATAACCCAGTATATAAATATAATTCTATCCGTGATAATTTGTAACTGGCCTTCTAATTACATTTTCAAGTATTAATTGATGTTTATAACTGTAAGTTTTATAGTTTGATAAATTAAAATAAGTAAAGAGGGAAGTCTAGTGGTTAATTATACGGAATACAAAACTAGACTAAGTTAGTTCGAATTCGAACGGCTTGGATCGAAGTCTATTTGTCTGTGGACCGCAGCATCCAACTTGCCATCAGGTAGACTGTGCTCGTTTGTCACCCTTTTACTATTAAAAGAAAAAACTTTTTGTAATGATATCATCCCCTCCCGCAGATTGGAGTGGTGTCCTTCGGTTCAGCCCGCGGCTGCCAGCTGGGCTACCCCGCCGGATTCGCCAGAGTGACCTCCTTCGTCTCCTGGATCCAGGCCCGTCTGTAGACGCATCACTCTACTTGTGACCTGATCTATTTAATTTACATAATAAAAATAAATAAGTTTTGATAAACAACCTTTTTTTCTTTTTCATTACGATTCGCCTTAGATATTTTTACCGACTTCAAAAAGGAGGAGGTACTTATTTCGACTGTATGTTTTTTATGTGTGTTACCTCGTAACGTTTTTCTGGGTGAACCGATTTCAATAGTTCTTTATTTATTTGAAAGCTGATGCTTCCCATGTGGTTCCATACAAATTTAATCAAGGTCTGACCAGTAGTTTCTGAGTTATCCGTAATATTTTATATTGAAGTCGGTTGTACAAATTTTTTAATTTTACCATTTGTCTAAACCGAAGTGTAAAACAAACTTACAATCCATCTGACGATACGTTACGCCTACACATTGAAGTAACATGTGTAGTACACAAGGGCGTCGCCAGCCGTTGGTCTAAATGGGGGGGGGGGGGGGGGGAGTTATAGAGTGGGAAAATGTAGGTAGAAAAGTACACGAAGCTTTACATTTCTATTGCAAATCTCACCTCTACAGCAATTGTAAGAAGAACGGTACAAATTCCAATGTGTAAAGCTCAACGAGGTCTGGACTGTACCATAAATAATACTTTAAATAGGTTTTGCATTTGAATACATTTTTTGTGTCTCTAGGGGGGGGGGGCAGCTTTCCCTCCCTGCCCTTCCTTCAGTGACGCCCTTGGTAGCACGTATTATACAGGGTTATTTTGCAATGAGTTGCCAAATTTTAAACTTAAGTTCAAATATATAAATAATTATATACCGTTATTGCAATTAATAGAAACAGGCGTAACTTTGCGGAAATCCATTATATTAAAGTTGGGAAAATTTACTTTGCCAATATCCGCTCGATTAAATAAAATGATGTGTCTTACCTAGTATGAAGAGCACCTCCCGCCCTCCCTCAATTGCGTGCACTATCCCCGTCACCACTAACCTCAACACCGCTACTCCCAACACCACTACACTAGGAAAGACCACTGACGACAATACGACACGTGGCTCGCTTCTACACGAGACATCGTCAGGTGATGTAGACTCTACGATGGCTGACCGCTTAGCGAGAGTGTTCAAACTAGGTAAGACACATCATTCTTATTTAATTGAGCAGATATTGGCAAAGTAAATTTTCCCAAAGTTATTACAATTTTTGAAAATACGAGTAAATAAGACTTCTACTTTTATCTACCGACTTCAAAAAGGAGCCGGTACTCAATTCGACTGTAGGTTTTTTTATGTGTGTTACCCCATAACTTTTTACTGGGTGTACTGATTTCTATGATTCTTTTTTTATTTGAAAACTGGTGCTTCATATGTGGTCCCATATAAATTTGATCAAGGTCTGACTAATAGTTTTTGAGTTATTCTTAATAATTTATATTAAAGTCGGCTGGTACCCGGCGCGTCGCTGCCGCAGCAGAAATATTGTGGAAATGTCGTTTTAAATTTGGAAGTGCTATAGTTTTTAATAGGGACGATAATACATTTATTGAAGTTGAATGATCTATAAATTTCAAACAAATTTGTCGGTACATACGCGCGCCACCTACTGTAAGTTAACTGTACTATACCTGTTACCTTCGCGCAAGTGCCAGCAATAAGTTGACAAAGTTTTAGCGCTATCTCATGAACGGTATGGCAGCGCATAAAATACGAACAAACAAAAAATAACTTTCATATATTAGATTATCCCAAATTAAATGTGATTTATGGGCAACAACATTTTTGCCTACCGAATTACCCTTACGAATGTGTGCGTGTGCAGTAAAATCAGTTAAAATAATGCATTACCACGCATTTTGAATTTAAAAGATAAAAAGCACAGAATGTTTGAGATTTTTTTTTAATTAACTTTTCTTCACCAATTGCCTATATTACTTATGCTGAAGCTTCTCTTCAAATTTGGCCGGTTATTGCAAAATAACCCTGTATAAATGTAGATATTATGTGAAGTTATATATGTAGTACATACTAAATAGTCTTACATACTAAAAGAGGTGACGAGACTTGGTTTTCAACAACACGCGTTAGAGTCCGCGGGCTCAAATTTACTCAGTCTGTGCCACAAAAAGGTTCCTTGTGCCTCCTTCCACACGCCCCACACAGCAGCACACATTATGATTTTCTTTACATCGTGAAGGCAGTTTACATATATTGCACAAGAACAAACATTCAGACCTGAAACAAGTACTAATAGGCCATATAAATATTCGTTCCGTGCGGAATTCGAACCAGTGGTCCTCAGCGCGACAACTCATTACTGAGCCACTGCGACACGGAGTTGTCAGGTAAGAGCGCTAGAAGTGACTACTGTAGCACGGTTAGCATGGGCTGGGGACGAAAAATGTATTTCCCGATTATATCCACTGACAAGAGATAAAATTATATTGTTCTTATGCCAAAGCACGGCAACGGGGAGAAGAATATCCCCGTTTGCATAACGAATAGACATATATCCCCCGACCGTAGCATGGAGCCAAATTAAAGATAAAAAATTATGCTTTTTGACATTTGAAAGGGACAATTATATCCTAGTAGTTTCAACAGATAAAATATTACCTTTATCTTACTAATACAATAACTTTTTCTGGACATTAAATACCTTTTTACTTTTATGGGAGTATTCTATATTATTAATAACAATAATGTTCCTCACACCGAGTAGTGACGGTGTAAGAATATCCACTGCATCGTGTCCCGTGGGTGTCGTAAGAGACGGTTTTTAAAAAAAAGCAGATTAAATGGAGTAAAACTTAAGCAATGTAAAATAATGCCAAAAAGTGATCTCTTCCAGACAACCTTAAGATAAGGAGAAAGTTGTACTATTGAACAGTTGAAGGTGAAGTGATTATATTAAACTTACGTACTAATATCTAAATAAACTAAAACGATATTGCACGCCTCATAACGCAAAGCGTTATTAGGTAGTGCTTTACTCTAAACACGTCAAGGTCAAGCAATTATGTGTTCTTAAAATACCTCTATCATGATCATATTGCACTTATACGATAATATGAGTAGCCGTAAATCAAAAAAACACTCTGATTGATCCATCTTATACTTTTAAGAAACGGTTTGAAAAAAGTTAAGTGGACATTCGGATGTTTATTTTGTATGTGGTGTAAATTGATGTATAGAGACCGGGTTTTCATAATAGCTTCATAATCACATCAATTGGTTCTCTATTTCATATCAATAGCCTATTACGCGTAGTTTGTTAATAAAATGTTCAACTTTTATAAGTGTTATTGATATTAAAATTTTAAAGGCGCTTTCATATTTTTTTAGCCTTTGATAAACAAAGGACAAATGTACCATACAGCCTATATTGATTTTATACTTCGTGTAAAATATTGCACAAGGAATCGATTTATTTTGGTAAACCATTATTTTTATCCCTGTAGGTGACGGAAAACAATTTATTTTTTTCTTCAAAATCAAATGAAACGCTCATGAGGTTTTGAATTTTCCAAACTATATTGTAGTTACAACAACAAGTTACAAATAACATCTTATAATAAAGCAAAGACTTAGATCTTACCACCTCACTACAACGTTGCATACCTATTTAAGTGAAGAGCTATTACAAAATCCAAACTTAAATGCGGTAAACAAAAACACATTGCGAGTTATGATAATATTGTTACAGAAAAGTTAATGTTCTGCCCTATATTATAGTGTAATAACAAAATAATACTCTAATACATACTATAAAAATATGATAAAATTAAATAGGCAAATATACATAAAAATGTAAATATAAATACAAAAAGGATACAAAAATCAAAATGTCTCAAATGATGACCGGTGATTATTGCAGTGATAGGTAGTGATATTTAACGTCAGTTTTAAACTTATCTAGTGTATTCGCACGACGAATTAGCGGAAGAAGTTCTAAGTTACATATTTATATGAAGAATTGATCATCTATGTTGTATGTGTTATGTATTATTTTTACGTGGTAGAGCCACGCTGCAGTTATATTACGGTTGTAGCACGAATGAGTCGGCTCGACCGAGGAAGGAGCACGCTCTCACAGAGTACCAGCGTAAAATAGCAGCTTAACACTGCTGTGTTTCATATAGTGAGTGTAGAGAACCGGAGATCCTTATTGCTGGAAACGAGGCATTCTATCGTAGTCTTCACGGGTGACAACGCATCTGCGTTTTGATTCGCAAACGAAGATAATCGTTTGTTACCCTAATTCCATAAAAAATATTGTCTTTTTTCAATAATCCCGTAATATGCAATCTCGGCACAGCAAGCGTAACATGTTATAAAGGAAACAAACACAAACACGTCCTGTACGCGAGGTACTCACTTCCGTTTCCGGTCCCCCGGCGCCACGCTCCCGCTCCACCCGGGAGGGGTGCTGTTCAGAGATGATCTGTTTTCAAACATTCGATTTGAAACTTCCGAGTTATTTTTTAAATTATAAATCAAATTTTATCGATTTTGTTGGAAAAAAATTAATACGTAATGTAAGGTAATCGTTATTCGTCCCACAGCTGGGTACAGGCCTCCACTTTTTCCGGAGAGTTGAAGGGCATAGTTACCTTTACGCGTGCTGTGAAACTTTGCTTCTTGCCAAATTTCATGATTCTAGATCAACGGGAAGTATCTTTATAGGCTTACATAATGATTTCTAATGTTTACGCGAACACTACACATTTAAATGAAACTAGTTTTTAAGGATTTTATCGTAGCTTTATATTCTCAACATTTTGAGCACATTACAGCACCCATGGTTACGGGGGGAGGGGGCGGGGGGCGGAACGGAGGTGTTCGACGTCCCTAGGTCATAGTTAATTAATGCTCATAGCTGATGTGAAGAATCAAACAAGTGGTCTCACAGAATACCAGCGAAAAATAGCGGCTAAATGCTGCTTTGTTTCGAACGTTGAGTGTAGAGAACCGGCATTCCACCTTAGTCCTCAGGAGTGACAACGCATCTGCATTTTGATTCTTAATG